GGCGGGGCGCGCGGGCCGCGGGGGGCGCGGCGCCGGGCGCGGCGGGCGGCGCGGCCGGGGCGCGGCGCGCGGGGGGCGGCGCGCGCGCGGCGCGCGCGCGGCGCGGGGGGCGCGATCGGGCCCCGCGCGCGCGCGCGGGTCGCGCGGGCCGCCGCGGCGGGGCGCGGCGGCGGGCGGGGCGCGCCGCGCCGCGCGCGCGCGGGCCGCGCGGCGCGGCCGGCGCGGGGCGCTTCCCCCCGGCGCGCGGTCCCCGGGGCGCGCGCGCGGGGCGCGCCCCGGCGCCGGGCGGCGCGGCGGCGGGGGTCGGGGGCGCGCGGGGCGCGCGCGGCGCGGGCGCGGGGGGCGGGGCGCGGGGGGGGCGCGCGCGCGGGGCGCCGGGCGCGCGCGCGCGCGGGGCGCGCGCGGCGGCGCGGCGCGCGCGCGGCGCGCGGGCGGGGGGGCGGGGCGCGCGCGCGCGGCGCGCGGGCGGCGCGGCGCGGCCGGCGTCCGCGCGCGGGGCGGCGGCCGGGCGCGCGCGGGTCCCCGGGGCGTCGCGCGCGCGGCGGGGGGCGCGCCGGCGCGCGCGCGGGCGCGCGCGCGCGCGCGGCGCGCGGGGGCCCCCGCGGGGCGCGCGCGCGGGGGCGGCGGGCGCGCGCGCGGGGCCGCGCGGCGGGGCGCGCGCGCGGGCTGCGCGCGCCCCGCGCCGCGCGCGCCGCGCGCGCGCGCGCGCGCCGCGCGCGCCGCGGGGCGCGGCCCGGGGGGCGCGGGCGCGCCGGCCCTCGGGCGCCGGCGCGCGGCGCGGCGCGGGCGGCGGGCGCGCGCGCGCGCGGGGCGCGCGCGGGGCGCGCGCGCGCGCGGCGCGCGCGGCCGGGGGGCGTCGCGCGGGCCGCGGGGCGCGGCGCGCGCGCGGCGTCGGCGCGGCGGGGGGGGGCGCGCCGGGCGCGGCGCGGGGGCCGGCGGGCGCCGCGGGCGGCGCGGCGGGCGGCGCGCGGGCGGGGCGTCGCGGGCGTGGCGGCGCGGGGCGCGCCGCGCCGGGGGGCGCGCGCGGGCGCGCCCCGCGCGCGCGCGGGGGGGCGTCGCGGGCGGGGCCCCGGGCGGCCGCGCGGGCGGGGCGCGCGGGGGCCCCCGCGCGGGGGCCCGGGGGGCGCGCGGCGGCCGGCGCGGCGCGGGGGGGGCCGCGCGCGCGCCCGGGGGCGCGCGCGCGCGCGCGCGCGCGGCGCGCGCGTCCGCGGGGGCTCGGGCCCCGGCGGCGCGCGCGCGGCGCGTCGCGGCGGCCCGGGGTCGCGGGCGCGGGGGCGGCCGCGGGGGGGCGCCCGGGGGTGCGCGCGGGGCGGCGCCGGGCGCGGCGGCGCGGCGGCCGGCCGTCGGGGCGGGCGCGGGGGGCGGGGGCCGCGCGCGTCGCGTTTTGCGGCGCGGGGGCGGGGCGCGCGCGGCGCGGGGCCCCGGGGGCGCGGGGCCGCGCGGGGGGCTTTGGCGCGGGCGGGGCGCGGCGCGCGCTGCTCCCCGGCGCTCGCGGGGCGCGGGGCGGGGGCCCGGCGGGGGGCGGCGGGGGGCGCGCGGGGGCGGCCGGCGCGCGCGGCGCCGGTCCGGCGCGCGCGGGGGCGCGCGGCGCGGGGCGCGCGGCGCGCGCGGGGGGCGGGGGGGCGCGCGGGGCGCGGCGGCGCGCGGCGGCGGGCGCCGTGGCGGGGGCGCCGGGCGTCGCGCCCGGGGGGGCGGCGCGGCGGTGCGCGGCCCCCGCGGGGGCGCGCGGGGGTCGCGCCGGCGGCCCCGGCGGCGGCCCCGGGGCGGCGCGCGCGCCGGCGGGGGCGGGGGGGCGGCGGCGCGCGGGGGCGCGCGCGCGCGGGGGGCGGGCGCGCTGTCCCCGGGGGGCGCGTCGCGCGCGCGGGGCGGGCGGCGCGGCGGCGGGCGCGGGCGCGGGGGGGGCGCGCGCGCGCGGCGCGGCGGCGCGCCCCGCGGCGCGCGGCGCGCGGGCGCGGCGGCCGCGCGTCGGCGCGCGGGCGCGCGGGTCGGCGCCGGGGCGCGCGCGGCGCGCGCGGCGCGCGGTCGCGCGCGCGCGCGCGCGCGCGCGTCGGGGGCGTCGCGCGCGCGCGCGGCGGCGCGGCGCGCGCGCGATCGCCCCGCGCGCGCGCGGTCGCGGGCGCGCGCGCCGGGCGCGCCGGGCGCGCGCGCGCGCGCGCGCGCGCGCGCGCGCGCGGCGGCGCGCGCGCGCGCGGGCGCGGCGGCGCGCGCGCGGCGCGGCGCGGCGCGTCGCGCGCGTCGCGGCGCGGCGCGGGCGGCGCGCGCGCGCGAGCCGCCGGCGCGCGCGCGCGGCGCGCGCGCGCGCGCGCGCGGCGCGGCGCGGCGGCGCGCGTGCGCGCGGCGGGGGCGGCGGCGCGCGCGCGCGCGCGCGCCGCTGCGCGCGCGCGCGTGCGCGCGCGCGCGCGGCGCCGGCGCGCGGTCGCGCGCCGCGCGCGCGCGCGCCCCGCGCGCGGCGTCCCGGCGCGCGCGCGCGCGCGCGGCGCCCGGCGCGGCGGCGCCGCGCGCGCCGGTCGCGCGCGCGCCGCGCGCGCGCGCGGGGCGCGGCGCGCGGTCGCGCGCCGGGCGGCGCCCGGGGCGCGCGCGCGCGCGCGGCGGCGGCGCCGCGGCGCGCGGCGGGCGCGGGGGGTCGCGCGCGCGGCGCGCGCGCGTTCGCGCGCGCGCGCGGCGGGCGCGCGCCGCGCGGCGCGCGCGCGCGCGCGTCTGGGCGCAGCGCGCGCGGGGCGCGCGGCGCGCGCGCCGCGCGGGGCGGCGCGCGTCGGCGGCGCGCGCGGGCGTCGCCGGCGCGGTCGGCGTCGCGCGCGGCCCCGCGCGGGTCGGCGCGCCGCGCGCGTCGCGCGGGCGCGCGCGGGCGCGCGCGCGCGGCGCGTGCGGCGCGGCGCTCGCGCGCGCGCGCGGGGCGCGCGGCGCGGGCGCCGCGGCGGGCGCCGCCGCGGCGGGCGCGCGCGCGCGCGCGCGCGGCGCCGCGCGCCGCGCGGCGGCGGCGGCGGGCGCGCGGCCGCGCCGCGCGCGCGGCGCGCGGCGCGCGCCGCGTCGGGGCGGCGCGCGCGGCGCGGGGGGGCGTCCCGCGCCGCGGCGCGGCGCGGCCCGGGGGGCGCCGGCGCGGCCGGCGGGCGCGCCCGTCGGCGGGGGCGCGGCGCGGCGGCGGCGGCGCCGCGGGGCCGCGCGCGCGCGCGCGCGGCGGGCGCGCGGGCGGCGGGGCGCGCGCGCGGGGCGCGCGCGGCGCGCGCGGCGGGCGGCGGCGCCGGCGGGCGCGGCGCGGGGGCCCGCCGCCGGCGCGGGGGGGGCCGGCGGGGCGCGGCCCCGCGCGGGCCGCGGGCGCGCCGGCGCGGGCGCCGGCGCGCGCGCCGCCGGGGGGCCGGCCCGGGGGGGGGGCCGGCGCGCGCGGGGGGCGGCCGGCGCGCCCGGCGCGGCCAGGCCCCGCGGGCGGCCGGGGCCGCGCGCCCGCGCGGGCGGCGGGCCCGGGGGCCCGGGGGGGCCCCGCGCGCCGGGGCGCCGGGGGCGCGCGCGGCGGGCGCGGGCGCGGGGGCGGGGGCGCGCGCGCCGCCGGGGGGGCCGGGGGCCCCGGCCCGGGGCCCCCCCGGCGCGGGGCCCCCGCGGGCGGCGCGCGCCGGGGGCCGCCGCCCCGGGGGCGGCGCGCGGGCGGGGCGGCGCGGGGCGCGGCGCGCGGGGCGGGCGCGCGGGGGGCGGGGGCCCGGGGGCGGGGGCGCGGCGCGCGGCCCGGCGGGGGGCGGGGCGCGCGCGCGGCGGGGCCGCCGCGGGGGGCCGCCGCGCGCCGGCGGGGGGGGCCCCGGCGCGGCGGGCGCCGGCGCGCGCGGGCCGGGGGGCGCGCGGGGGCCCCCCCGGGCGCGGGCGCGGGCGGCGCGCGCAGGGCGGCGCGCGCGGGCGCGCCCCGCGCGGCGGGGCGGGGCGCGCCGCGCGAGCGGGGCGCGCGCGCGGGGGGCCCGGGCGGGCGGGCCCCCCCGGGGGGCGGCGCGGCGCGGGGCG